TCCATATACTTATCTAGAGCACAGATCACAAATAGTTCAAAATGTTTAAAAAAAAATATAAGATTAAATTACTTCTTAAAATTAAATTATTTTTACCATAAAAAGCATTAACAAATATTTATAAACATCTATTTCAGTAATTTTAGCAGAAATTTAATATATGTACATGTTAGATATGTGTACATGCATTTGTACACATGTATTGACACTTGCGTTGTGTTTATACTATTTAATAAATCGTAAATCAAGTGAAACATGAAAGAACATGAAATGGGAATAAACAAATGGTTTATTAATAATTAAACGAAGTCAAGTTATTTTAGTTGGCATAATTAGAATAGTTCTTAATACATTAAGCTGTTAAGATTTTTCTTGGTTGAGAAAAAAAACGTAATGTAAAAAATGCATTTGATAAGAATAAATAGTCAACTATATCAAGGCCAAGGTGGACAGTTAAGAACCCTTTCCTTCTTATTACATTGCTAATCATCTATCTCTCTTTCTACTGCAACGTTTATCATCTACATTTTCTTCAAATCCCAATTACCACCTTCCTTCTCACTCTTTATCATTCAGATGAATGTAAAAAAACAATTATTGTACGTTTTGATTACATCTCGTATAGTATAAACTGCAAACTACGACTAATAATTCTTACTGTTCTGATTGTACTATGTAATGCGAGTAACGGTAGGAATCATCTGCTCTCGAAAATTTACATTTTTGACTCGTAATGCCATTCGTGACAAAATGCTAAAACTGTTAGACAAATGTTATCGACGGGAAAGTGCACGTGTGCGACCATGGCGACATCAGCGATGATATACCCAAATTGCTAGACACATGTTATCGACGAAGACTGTGTGAATAGCTAATGCAAAACTCCTAAAATTTTTCTAGGCCTAGATATAGATTTCCATAAAGTGTAACGTGCATACTGATTTTAAATATTTGCATGCAGTAAGGTTACACGTCTTCACACAGAAAGACTTTATTTATCCTTCGGAATGGACTTGGAAAATTTTTGTAAACATCTGCCAAAAGTGGTACGTATTTTTCACATAAACGTTTTTAAGATGTACAGATCAATAATTGGAAAGAATCATTTTTTAAATTTGTAATATGTTTAATAGGAACTTCATGCTCATTTGAATGGTTCCTTGAGTCCTGATACATTGAAGAAACTATACAAGATGCAAAATCCTAGTTCTGATAACTGTGAGAATATAGTCATGAGCACTGAAAAATATTCATCATTAGGCGAGTACGCTAATCTTCTCCTGAGTTCTATTTCATCCATCTTAGATGACAATTAATGTATTATGCTAAAGCTTTGAACCAAAGAACATATAATAATAATTTTGATAGGTGTTTCAAAGTGTTCGATATTGCACACTCATTGACAGTAACACCAGAAGCAGTTTATCAATCTGCTTATGATGTGATTAAAGAATTTAAGGAAGATAATGTGATATATTTGGAACTTAGAAGCACTCCTCGTGCAATTAGCGGACAAATGACAAAACGAGAATACATAGAAGCTATTGTAAGAGCATTTGTGTAAGTTTACTTTAATAAAAATAATTTTATTTTATATACTTATGCAAGTCTATGATACTTAACTGCGGTATTTATATTTTTAGGGTCTGCAAGGCAGATTTTCCAGATATTATTGTAAAATTGCTAATATCTATTAATCGTAAACAAGGATATAAAGCTGCTGAGGAGAACATAAAATTAGCGATAGATTACTTTGGAAGATATCCACAGTATGTAGTAGGTCTAGATCTCAGTGGAGATCCAATGGTTGGAGATGCATTTTTAGAATTATTAAAGAAAGCAAGAAGTGCTGGTCTCAAAATTGCAGCCCACTGTGCAGAGGTAATTTGTATCACATTATATTTAATGATAAATAAGGTTGATGAGCATTAAAGAGCTGAAATATTTTATCATTTTTCTAGTACAGATTTCAAATGAAATGGAAACACGTGATATTCTTAAGTTCAAACCAGACAGACTAGGTCATTGTACTTGCATTCATCCTAATCTACAAGGATCAGATAAATTATTTTACACACTTATCAATTCAAAAATTCCTGTGGGTAAGAACATTATCATTGTTTTAATGGATTATTGTCTAAATCATTCATAAATCTACCAAATATCATATTTTTACATTTCATTTAGAATTGTGTCTAACATCAAATGTCCAGTGCAAGACAGTACCTTCTTATGAATCACATCAGTTTAAATATTTGTATGAAGCTGGTCATCCTATTTGCCTTGGTGTAAGTAAAGTTTGTTAATATTCATATAAGCTGTTATTTTCCGTGTAACATGAATTTTTAATTGAAGCACCGTTCATTTTGTAGACTGACGACAAGGGTGTTTTTCATACATCTTTGTCGAAGGAATATGAGATAGCTAGTTCGACGTTTGGTTTAGGGTGGGAGGAACTCATGAAATTGTGTGCGTCATCTGTGGAATACGCTTTCGC